TAACCGGGAACTCCCCGATATTTTCCTCGCCCTCGCTTCTACCACGGGTTTTTTTTGTCATGCACGGCCCAAAGAATGTCATGCAGCTGCGTCTCCGGCCCGCCCAGGAGGAAAAACCCATTTTCTGTCATGATTTTTTGTCATAAAAGTAGGATCCCACCACATCTATGATGATACCAGGTTTTGTCACAATTATCGTCATAGAAGTGTCATAAGTATGACAGAAAAAAATTCGTTCGGCCCAAAATGTCACGAATGTATCTTTTTTTGTAGTGTTTTCCATTCCACAGCTGTAAAAGTTCTTCAACTAATGGCCTTAGGTACACATCAATGTCATTGCCGGGTTGATTAGGGCCTTGGATGAGCACTGGCATCATAATGAACTTCTGCTTCCTGCACACCCAAGGAGGAAGGTTATAGATACATAGAGTCACGGGCCAGGTGCTATGATTGTTGCTCTGCTCCCCAAAATGATTAATTCATCTGTGCTTAAACCAAACCATGCGTTCCTTGCGTCACGTGCAAAGTACCCCATGTTCTCTCGATTTTTCTCCACTGCGACCCGTCAGCGGGTGCTCTCAACTTCCCATCTTTCTTATGGTCCTCTTTGTGCCATCACATCAACTTGGCATGCTCTTTGCTTCTGAACAAATGTTTCAACCATGGTATTATAGGAGCATACCACATCACCTTGACAGGAACCCTCTTCCTAGGGCCCTCGCCCTCAACATCACCAGGGTCATCTCATCTGATCTTATACCGCAATGCATCGCATACCGAGCATGCGTTCAAATCCTCGTACGCACCGCGGTAGAGGATGCAGTCATTAGGGCATGCATGTATCTTCTGCACCACATTTCCTAGAGGGCATAGAACCTTCTTTGCTCCGTACATACAGTCGGACAATTCGTTATCCTTTGGAAGCTTCTTCTTCAATATTTTCAGTAGCTTCGCAAACCCGTTATCACATACACCATTGTATGCCTTCCATTGCAGCAATTCCAGTGTGGCACCGAGCTTTGTGTTGCCACCTTAGCAAATTGGGTACAACCCTTTTTTGTGATCCTCTAACATGCGATCGAACTTCAGCTTCTCCCTTTCACTTTGGCATTGTCTCTTTGCATCAACAATGACCCGGCGAAGATCATCATCGGGCACATCGTCTGGTTCCCCTTGATCTTCAGCTTCCCCCGTTGCAGCATCACCGCATTTAGGGGGCGGATAGTTGTCATCATCCTCTTCTTCTTTGTTGTCTTCCATCATAACCCCCTTTCCTCTGTGCTTGGTCCAAATATTATAGTGTGGCATGAAACCCTTCTCAAGCAGGTGGATGTGAAGGGTTTTCGAGTCAGAGTAAGACTTCATATTCCCACAAATAGGGCATGGACAACACATAAAACCATTCTGCTTGTTTGCCTCAGCCACTTTAAGAAAATTATGCACGCCCTTAATGTACTCGAAGGTGCGTCTGTCACCGTACATCCATTGTCGGTTCATCTGCGTGCATTATATATAATTAAGTGTGTCAACAAAACCCATTACAGAACATAATGAATAGAGAAGTGACCAAATCAATAGAAGTTCATAATCACATTAAAACAAAAGTACAATTGTGATCAAATGTTATTACTGAAAAAATAAATACATAAAGTCCATACATAGTTCTCATTGAACAACATATAGCTCTCTAGAGCATCTAATTAAACCATACATTGAAACTATGTAAAACATTTCAATGCAACAACAAATGCGATCATAATTGCAACTAAGGTAACAATTGATCCAACGGCATAATGATACCAAGCCTCAGTATGAATGGCATATTTTCTAATCTTTCTAATCTTCATGCGCATTGCATCCATCTTGATCTTGTGATCATCGACGACATCCGCAACATGCAACTCCAATTTCATCTTCTCCTCCTCAATTCTTTTCAAAAAAATCAAGTAATTGTTTTCTTTTTCAATTAAATTTAACCTCTCGCAAGAGCGTTGGTTGGAATTTCCGGTTCACATACCTCCTAGATAAAAACATCTATGTCACGTTGGTTGGCATAATTATCATAAACACTAAATGAAACAAGTAGTTATGAAACATAATATATATCACATCCAAATCATAGATAGGACGAGGACCGATGGGGGAGGATACCAAAACCATCGCATTATATAATAACAAACAATAATAAAAGTAAGAAAATTATACAAGTATCTATCTAAATCATACAAGTAAGAATTTTTTTTCTTTTAGAAAGAAGATAAGAACAAGAGGCTCACCATGGTGGTGCTGGCGACGAGATCGGCGCGGGCGATCGACGGCGGTGAGGATGGGGACGTGACAGGACGGACTGCCAAACCTAGACAAATCTTAAGGAAAATGGTGTTTGGACAAGGAGCTTGGAGAGGAGAAAGCTTAAGTGTGGCTCGGGCATTTCATCGAACACCTCATGTGCATAGGAGGTGAGCTAGAGCAACACACACCTCTCCCACGGCCGGCCAAAAAAACAGAGCAGTGGCTCTGTTCGCAGGCAGGGGCGGGGTATATATAGACTTCTCTTTAGTCCCAGTTGGTGGCTAGAACCAGGACACAAGAATGACCTTTGGTCCCGGTTCATCCACCAACCGGGACTAAAGGTGTTGGCCCAGGAGCGAGGCCCATTGGTCCCGGTTCGTGTCTGGAACCGGGACCAAAAGTGTCACATGAACCGGGACCAATGGCCGCCGAGGCCCGACCGGCGCCCTGGCCTCGCGAACCGGGACTGATGCACCCTTTGGTTCTGGTTCATGAGTGAACCGGGATTAATGCCCTTATCCTGGCCTCAATCAAAGCCATGTTTTCTAATAGTGGAGCGAAACCCCCCCTATGGGCGCTGAGAATGGCGCGTAACTTCCCACCGGAGTGGGGGGTCCGGTTGTGAGCAAAGGCTTCCCGAACCACGCTCCACGCAAAACGAGCTAGGTGGTGGTTAAAGAAAATGTGGTTGGCATCCTCGTGGGCCCCACAGACCACACAAGTGCCATCTGACGGTCTGTTTCTCTTGGGCACGTTGTTGGAAGAGGGGAGCCGGTCACGGCACATTTGCCATAGGAACACCTTGATTTTGAGGGGATGGCCACTTTCCATAGCCCCCTAGCTATGTCAAGAGATGGGCCCTCCGTTAACTTGGCATAGAGCAACTTAACCGAAAACTTCCTGGAGTTAGTGAGAGACCAAGAAACGGCGTCAGGCTCAGAATTCAACACTACACTGGACAGCGTGAGGCACAACCCCTCCCAGGACGCGCGCTTTATATCGGTAAGAGGTCGCGTGAAAGAAATAGCTGGCCGTGATGATCGCAACGCATCTCCAACTAGAATATCAATGTTAGTGGCAAGACGGTACAGCAGCATGTGGACCGATCTGATGATGATGCTGCCACCCATGTTGGATGAAATCTCTGTGGCCATCCACGTCAACCTACTGCACACCGTCTTAAACATCGGTTTGGTTCGATCGTAAATAATGAACCAACCATTGCAATGCACAAGAACAGAAAATGATCACTTGTGGGAGGAAAAGAAAACAGAAATAGTGAAACGTGATACTAGAAGGAAGTAGAGTACTACTCTAGGAAGCAAGTGGAGGAAGAGGAGCCATCACGTGAGGTGAGGTGAGGTGAGCTGAGGGGGGACATAGCATTGTTCCCGGCCCGGCCGGCCTGACAAAAGTTGCAGCCCACCAACGAACCAACTCACGTGCTGACACACCTCCCCCCTCACTCACTCGTCCTCTACCTTTCCGTTAAAAAAGCAAGCTCACTCGCTCGCTTGACCTACCCAGTACTCACTCACTGATGGCCACCACTGTACGATACACATGCAGTACTGACTCTTCTCTTCCCTCTGCACCACTGACACCACAGTGATCGACAGGGACCCCATCGACCTGGTCGTACGGTTCATCTCATGAGACCCCATCGACCAGCTGACACGTGGATTTACGAATCTCAAAGCAACAAAGAAAAAAACAACGTCTTCTTCTCCACTGCGAAATCCCCATGTCGATTAGAATTCCGCACGGCGGCGAGCTTCCTCCGGCACGGCAGGATTTTTTTTTCTATACCGACGTAGGTGGGTTGTGTGAGCGTCTTCCGCCTGCGAATCTCACCGGAGATGGGTGACAAGCTGAAAGTTTCTCTTGAGGATGCCCGTTGGTTTCTCACCGGAGATTAGCAACACTGATCGCTGACTGGTTTGTGTTTTTTCTTGTGGATGCCGGAGATGGTCTTGTTCTACACCACCGTGAATTCATGCGTTCCAGCCAGGTTCAGTTGCTGCTGCATCCGCGAGGCCCCGGCGAGCAGCGGAGTTGCGCCGGCGTCGAGGATACTGGCCGCGACCGAACAGGGGCAAGCGTCGTAATTGCGCCGGCATCGAGGAGTATGGCCGCGAGCGACAGAGCAATCATCCAACGTGTTGTGGCCAGGGGAAAATCCGCGCCGGCGTCGAGGTGTGCGGCTGTACCGGCGGCTGGCAGTGACAGTCGGGATTTCACAACTGAGATTCAGACTAAGAAGAAGCTCCTTGCTGCGTTGAGATTAGTACTGCCAGGTGTCACTCAACGGAATGGGTCTCCAGATTAGAAGTATACGACCAGGTCGCATAGGATTTTTTTTCGATAGACAGTGTACGTGCAGAACGAAGCTCACGCAATCAGCTCACATAATGCAAAAGATGAACATTTCCAATTTATTCCCGGGTTTTTTTGAACAGATTTCCTTATTTATTTCCGACAAAAAAAAGATGATGAGACCCATATATGAACTACAGAAACAAGCAACGCGAAATAGTACACGTACGGAAGAAAGCAAGGAAAAAGGAATTTGCATGCAAAATTAAGCGGATCGCCGTCGTGGCGCTAATCGGATCGTCCATATCCATATCCATCCATGGTCCGTCGATCGGTGACTCCAAGCTTTAGTAGCTAGCTAGGCTGCTGGATCCGGCCGGCGAGTCGGCCGGTCAGCACACGCCGTAGTCGCGGAACATGTGCTCCGCCGCGCCGCCGGAGCCGGAGGACGCCGACACGACGCCGGCCCCGCCCACGCCGCCGTGGAGGTGCACCAGCTCGTTCTGCCGGCGCAGCTCCATCACCTTGCGGTGGGAGTTGGAGTGCTGCGTCAGCACGAACGTGGGGCTCGCCGCCGGGCGGTACTCCGGCACCAGCCGCCCCGACTTGTACCGCACCCCGCACGCGTTGCACAGCGTCTTGGGGCCCAGCGGCCCCGTCCGCCACTGCGGCGTCTTCTCCGACGCGCAGTGCGTGCACCGGCGCACCTCGCCGCTCTGGTCCCCGCCGCCCCCTAGCTCGGCCGCCCCGACCACGAGGCCGCTCTTCTTGACGCCTCCGCCGCCGCCGCCGCCGCCTGACCGCGCCGGCTTGGAGTCGGAGGACGACGAGGAGGAGGACGGGGAGGGCTGGCGCGGAGCCAGGGCGTGCCACGCGGCCGCGGCCGCGGAGACCGCCCGCGAGCGCTTGCTCCGCGCGCCGCGGCCTGGCGCGGCCGCCGACGCGGAATTCTCCTGCTTCACCACAACGCCGCCGTTCCTCGCGGCGGCCGCCATCGCCGCCTGCACGGCCGGCGGGTAGTTGGGGATGTCCGGGTAGGAGTCGTCCACGAAGTTGGACAGCCACTCCAGCTCCGCGGCTTCCTCAGTCTGCACGTACGTACACATCAACCAATTAGTTAAGTGTTTAGCTAGCTATATGGGTAGTAGATCTCAATCATCTCATTACTCTCAGTTCTTGATCGAGCTGCTTAATTCTCTCCCATTTCTTCAGGAATTGAGATCGAGCGCGCGATCGAGCAACAATTGACTGCGGATGTTGAAGGAAGAAAGTAATTACCGGGACAGGCAGGTAAAACTCGTCGGCGAAGGAGAGGTTGAAGGACGAGGGGTGGTGGTGCTGGTGGTCGGACGAGGAGGCCGCGGCAGCCGCGGGCGGGGCCGGCGCGTTGTCGGCGGCGCCATTGTTCGCGCCGGAGAAGAAGTCGTGCGCGCCGAGGTGGGAGGAGAGGTCGAGCATCTCGTCGACGCGCATGGGGTCGGCGGCGCCGTCCCCGCCCGCGGCGCCCCCGTAAAAATTGTACTGGTGGGGGGGCTGGGAGTGGGAGTATGCGGAGTGGTGGTGGTGGTGGTGGTGGTGGTGGTTCATGGGCGAGGCGGCGGCGGATGGCGGCGCGTGGTGGTAGTGCGAGCCCATGCCGAGCTCCATGCCCAAGGCCGCCTCCCACTCCGGCGCCATGCCCGCCAGCTTAATTATACTACCGGGACGTACAGGAGCGTGCAGCGAGTGGAGTGGAGTGGGGTGGCTAGCTAGCTAGTAGCTCGCAGTAATGGCGGGGTGGCAGTAGAGTGAGGTGGTAGTGGCAGTGAGCGGGAGTGAGACTGAGAGTGGCTGTGGCTGCCGGCAGAAGCTAAGCTTGGCTTGGGGGCAAGCTAGGCTTGGCTCTGGGGAGCTCCAGTCGCGTCTCGCACCAGTAACAGGAAAGCCGCCGAGGCAAAACCATTAATATAGAGCGAGGAGGAGAGCAAGCCAAGCTAGCTACCTAGCTAGGCGAGGTGAGAGGGTGAGAGGTGATGCATGATGAGCACATGAAAGGGCAACCGAGCTTGCCGGGGAGGTCCACGCCATGGTGGTAAATTATTACTACCACTGGCAGTAGCTAGCAGCTGAGGGAGTGAGGAAGCAGCAGCTTGTGTCGTGGTGTAGACGTGTAGTGTGAGCGTGCAGAGCTAGCGCCAGCTGCATGGTGTAGACGAGTAGAGTGAGCTAGGTGCAGCCCAACCCAACACAAGGAACAGGGCCCATGCACTGCCCGTACTCAGAGAGGCTCACTCACCCATATGCATACCATATGCATGCATGCCCCACCGGCCGGCCACTCACGCCCATCACACAATCATTGACTTGAGCCTCTCTCTGGATCAGTTAAATTAGCTACTAGTTACTTTCACCATCCATGGTTTAGTACATAGTACCCTCCTTTCAAAATAGATGACTCAAATATGTGGTAAGTAGTAATTTAGTAGTATAAAGTTAGTACAAAGTTGAATCGATACAAAGTGGAGTCATCTATTTTAGAACGAAGCATGTGTTGATACATTTACTTGGGCACGGCCCGGCATATCGACCGATCACCCCCACCTTATCACCATGGTGTACACGGTGGGGCACCCGGCGGGCTGGTTTGTTGCATGCAGCCCAGGGACACTCCAGTGACAAGCTGTAGTTTGTCAGACGCCAGCGTCTTCTTACCACCAAGGACGACGTGCGTGGGCCCACGCCCGTTCACCACCATCACACATAACGGTCCTGTCAATTTACGTACTCACTCGGACGGAATAATGGAGCCAAACCCCCTGCTCCTGGCCACATGATCTGCCAGCGTGCATCATGCATGGCGCGATAAGGGAGTACGTAACAAGGGCCGAGCGCGCATAGAGATGCTGGCTCTTGTACTGAACCGGCGTCGTGTCGTGTCCATCATCAAGCTTGCACACCGGGTCGGCGGATGGATGAATTTGCACACGTCCTGGCTGGGGAGGGTTGCAGCAAATCTCTTTGTAAAACTTTTGGCTCCAGGTATGGCTCGCCGTCGAATTTTCTTCGCTCTCTTCAATTGGACTGGGCTAATTTGACAATAGCAGGCTTGACAATGGTGCCAAATTCAGCAAGTTTGGTTGGTTGCGCAAATTGAACCACCTCAATTGATCGGTAGACACTGAATACCATTTCTTGAGACCAGGGACGAACAAAACCCTAGCCCCTGTCCCATCTACTCCCTCCCCCCCTTCCCCTCGCCGCCACCAGGGTGCGGTGGCGGCAGGAAGGTCCTAGTCGAGGGCGGCCTACTTGTGGAAGAGTTGGAGGGTTGTAACCGGATGCCGGATGAGGAAGGAGATACATGCTCGAGTGGTGCTCTTTGTTAGGCGGTGCTTGACGGTGGCGTTGGTCATCGAGCGTTGCGATCTACAACGGCGGCCTGACCTAGCAATGTCATTAGAGAAGAGGGAGTCGGTGCATGGTCCTTGACATCGACTTCCGATCTGGACCTGTCATGCACCGGCATGGGTATTTTTTTCAGGGTTTTTTTAGGGATTATTCGAGTTTGGTATGGGCGGCAAGGCGACGGTGCTGTTCCAATGTGGAAATAATGTTTTCCCCGCTCTTTCCGTGCCCTGTTGATGCGCTTATCGTCGGTGGAGGACGTGTGGAGCCATCTCTCCTCTAGGTCTTCCAGGTTTAGGTTGGTTTGGATTTCGGGTGGATTCGACTGGTTTTCATAGCCTTTGAAGTTTTTATGGGCTCTTACCGGGATTTTCTTCTTCGGCGCGGCGTCTTCTAGTCTGCATCGACGACTTCATGTCCGCTGCTTCTACAAGCTCCTAGGTTTACCAACGTTCGCTCCGCCGAGACGAAGGCCCAGAGGGGGCATCGAGCTACGCTCACGGCACATCGCCGACGAATGCAGAAGGAAGAATACTTCAGCACCCTCAAGAACTTTGAGTGTAATTTTTTTTTCTATATGGGTGTGTTTCTAAGGATGCTTAATGTACATGGATTAGGCCTTCTAAAAGCAGCGCGATCGATATCTCGAGGCTGAGTTTAACAAAGTGGGTGTGCGAGCGATGGACGGAGCGAATCGGGCGGGGAGCAAGGCAGGCGTGCATGCATGCACGCATGCACGCACGCAGCACGAGCATCGAATCACGTGAGCCCGACGAGGATCCCGAGGCCGGCGAGGGAATCGTCGCCGGCACGTGCCGCCTCGTGCCCGGCCCCCATGCACGTGACGCCACTGGCCTGCATGCGACTTTTTCTTACCACTCCACCACCACCATGGCCTGTTCGTTCGTTCGTTCATACTGTATGCGCCTAGCTAGCCTAGCCTAGTAGCTCTGCACAGCACCATCCTCCATGGTCGTTATTTCGGTCGACGGACGGATGGGTTCGACGTGATCGTCGCACGATTCGCTCCGGTTAAACAACTGCTGCTACGTACGTACGTACGTACAGTGATGTATAAGGAGAGTAGTTAATGAGAAGAAGGGTGAGAATAATCAAGAGACTCCAGAAATGCCAGCGGGGGTATAACATGCGGCCTCTGCTCCGGTAGCCTTATATAAACCTGCTGCTGCAGCCGCTGGTGCTTTCGCTCTGACACACGCACACCTCCCTTGCCGGCCGGGAGCGGTGGGTCGCCCCTGCTGCCAGTTGGAACCCCCCTCTCTCTCTCTCGCACACACAGTGAAGCGAAGATATCTATCCATCCTTCCATCCAGCAGCTTCTTCTCTCCATGGAAGTAGGGCATCTCCCACGCGAGCCTTCAAAACGGACACCGTATTTGTCCGTGGACTAGTTCGGACTTTGCTCGCGGATTGTGATACGAGAGCCGTTAACACAAACAAATTACAACATAATTCATGCAAACACAACGGAATTTCTTTCAACGGACATAAATTTGGGCATAAGTTACAAAAACCAGCGCATACTTCGTCCGTTCAATTATAATCTAAAAAACCTAAACTAATTTCTAGCGGGCGGTGACCTCATACGCCCGGTCGGCTGGCCGGTGGCACATCCGTCGTCATATGTGTCGTCATCCGAGTCAGAGTGGTCCTTCCAGCGACGGAAGGGCGCAGAGGCACAACAGCTTTCCCGGCCACTGCCAGCGCTCGCGGAGGACCCGCTTCACTTCCCCCTACACAGTGCGGAAGGCCGGCGCGGGCAATGTCGACCCTAGACGGGAATATTTGCCCTTTCCATCGCCGGCAGTGGCGAAAGTGGAGGTGTCACTGAGTGACCGCTCCTCCTCGATCTTGGCGACATTCTAGTCAAGGCGGCGTAGTGGCTGCGTGGATGTCTCTGTAGTGGTCGACGACCAGTCGCGGGCCCAGGCCTCCGCGAGGACCCAAGCCAGCGCCTCATCGGACTTCACGAACGCCACATTGTTGTGTCGCTCCCACTACGGCACCTCCCCGTCCGTCCTCTCCTCGACCACGATAATGCTCTGCAACGACGAGGAGCCGCGGCCACCTGGAACACCGAGGTAGTGGAGGAGTCACCCGCACGCCTTCACTATCACCCGGGGCAGCTCCTCCTTCACGTCCTTGTCGTGCCACATGTTGGATTGTCGATGAGGCGGCAACCCCGGTTCCTCCTTCACAGTTCACATGATATAAAATTTGGACATCGTGGTTGCGCAAGAGCGACGTCTGCTCTGCCTTGACGCACCGAAGAGACAGCGACACCAGCTATGCCTTGACACTGTGGCGAGACGGTGATGTCGGCTCCACGTTGACGCGGTTTCACGACGGTTGTGGCAGCGTCGAACCCTGGTATTGGACTCATGCTTAAATAGGCGCCGCCAGACGAATGGGTGGGAATCCGGCTTCAATACGACACCAGAGTAGGATTCTGAAGCGGTGATGCCATCGTGTCGCGCCGGCATCAATGCCATGTGGAGTCGCATCCACTATGAGACGGCCTGACATGCATCAATGTGCGGCGACCTCTTCATGTGAAGGGGGTTCCTGCGTGGAGAGGGTTCGGGCCGTGGTGGGACGTGGCGGTCATACGCATAGCGGTGGTCCGGACTCCACAAACCTCCTCCAACCTTGCATCTGGTTTACAGAAATTCGGACGTGCGGACGTATGCGACACCGTGTTGGATGACAGAAACGACCCAAGCGCGTCGGCCCGGACCGTTGCAGGCGTTTTATGCCCTGTGGTACATTAGTTACCCCCCATTTCTTTGCGGTTAGAAACAACAGTTTCTAGCTACATAATCGATGAGCGGATTAGAACTGGTTTGAGGCTGCAAGTACATGAAAAATGAAAATGCTCTTACATATATTTCAGGACTGTGGAGAGTTGACATGGAAATACTAATATTATTTTTGAAAGGATCCTGGCAGTAGCAGCAGCAGTAGTTACGGGACCGGTTTTAAAAAAGCAACGGCGACATGGGTAGATGGAGAGCAGCAGCAACCCGAAGCAAAGCAAGCGCTGTGCTGTGCTGTGCTACGGCTGGCCATCGATGGAGATAGCAGCTTGTAGAATATATATGTACTGTGCGTAGCTACCTAGGTAAACTACAAGGTGATAGTAAGTGAAGGGAATGAAGGGTTGACGTCAAGGCCGGCCGGCCGGCCGGCAACGTGGAGTGTCGGTGAACGCGCGTGGCTTCATGCTCATGCATGGGGACTCCCTCCCTCCCTCCCTCCTTTCCCTCCTTGGC